CTCTAATCGTCGCGATCTTACTGTCCTCTGGCTTAATGCCGTCTCCGTCCAACACGTGGCCCAAGTACAAGACTTGCGTCTTGGCCCACTCGCATTTCTTCGCGTTGATCTTGAAGTTAGCCTCTTTAAGCTTCTCCAAGACCTGCCTCAGATGACCCTGGTGCTCTTGGAGGGTCTTACTAAAGACTAGGATATCATCTAAATAGACTACTACAAATTTATCTAACCACGGTCTAAACATGTCATTCATACAACGTTGAAAAGTAGCTGGCGCGTTGGTTAGTCCAAAGGGCATCACTATGAACTCATAGTGCGCGTATCTAGTCCGGAACGCAGTCTTGTACTGATCGTCAGGATGAACTTCTATTTGATGGTACCTGGACTTTAAGTCTATCTTAGAGAAATACTTACACCCTGCACCCGATCTAAAAGATCGTCTATCCTGGGCAGCGCCTCAGCATTTTTCACTGTGATCGCATTCGAACCCCTATAGTCTATACACATACTAAGTTTTCGTTCCTTCTTGGGGACAAACAAAACTGGTGCTCCAAAAAAGGAGACGAACTGGGCCTGATCCAACCCTTCTCAAGGAGTTCGTCTAACTGCTTGCGAAACTCCTCTAACTCTCTAGGGGACATCCTGTAGACTGCACCCTTAGGAGTTCGACTGCCAGGCTCTATCTCTATCCTGTGTTGGATGGGTCACGGCACTTCTCCTGTCGGCGACTCAGTCAAATCCTTTAACTCTTCCAGCAACTTGGCAATTGTTGGATCTGTGGAACTATCCTTTTCCTGGCCCTCGATGACAGGTCGAACATACACTACAAAGACCTGTTCCTCTAACTGCTCCTTTCTCACCAATCGCGCGAACGCGGGGGCATTGAGACAGCAATGTGCCAAGGTGTTATCTACACCAAGGCACATGGAACAGGCGGGCAGTCTTAACTTCACCTACCGGGCTAGGGAGCCTACACTCATGCTCTCTCAAATGAAGTGTGACCCCTGCTGCCTCTCCCCAATCCATTCCCATCACTATATCAAAAGGAAGGTCATCTTGTACGAGGAGAGTCGGGGAATGGAGAACTTTCTCCACCTTCCCATCCTTCTCTAGGCGAAAATACGCCTGGACTCCCTCTACATAATCCTTAACTCACATCGTGCGATTGTCTGCGAGGACACTGACTATAGGGTCTACTAACTTCTGGACTTTTAGTCCTAGCCTCAACTTCTTCAGCGCCCTACGGCTAATATAACTACGAGTAGCCCCGGAGTCTATGAGGGTCCCTACTCTACTTCTAAAAACCTCTACATCTACCAAAATCAGTTGTCCTTTACTCTCCTTTTTCATTTTGGCCCAGGCTGGCATCCTCTCCTTTAACTCTTCTGCCACACCTGTGAGGGACGTGCCTAAAGAGACGCTAACACAGGCGGTCTCTGGACAGCTATCTAGGCACGGGCCTGCAACCTCTGCCATAGGCTCATGTGGGTTGGGAGTGTCCTGTTCGCGCGCGCTCACTTCTCCACATGGCCTTGAAGTAGGGGCAGTTGCGACCCCTACTGGCGGCTGCGTTTTGCCTGCTGAGCAGCCCAACGGGCTTGTCTATACTTTGGACAAAATTTAATTACGTGCGTCGGGTCACCACAGAATACGCACTGACCCATGTTCACGCGTTCCTGCCATAATCGCCGGTCCAAGCCCAAGTCTTCCCAGGGCCTGCCCTGCGGCAAGCCTGGGTGCCATCCTCCTTGAGGTGCCCTTCCACCTCCTCGCTGTGGGGACCGATTACCATGGCGATTTAACGGGGGACCTTGACCCCTACCTCCCGCTTGGCGGTTTCCCTGTCTGCCAACCCCCTGTGCGCCCGGTCCTCGGCCTCCCATGGCCTGGCCCCTTCAGCCCTGGCCTCCTCCTCTACCTTGCGGCCTCCCTCCGGCCGCGACAGCAGCGTAAGACCTCCCCTGCCCTACACTACTGTACTCCTCCCCTAGGCCCCACTCGATCTGATCATATGGGACCTCTTTTGTACCACCCTCCTCTAATGTCAGGATCAAGTGATCCTTGGCCTTGACTTGGCCCGAGATGGTACGATCCTTCCACTTCTTCCCCTTCTCCAGGTCCTTATGCCAGAAAGTGGTGACTGGCATAGACTTCGACTCATACAGGACGACTTCTCTACTCAATGCATCGTAAGCGATGCCGGCCTGCTGAACCTTGTCAAAGAAATGCCCACGTAGGGCCTCTGGAATGGCATGATAAAACAACTGGACCAACTGGGGCTCAGTGACCCCATGGTCCGGGACGGCTACCAAGTCGTCCATGGTACTCTTGAGTGCCTTGGCACTCCTCCAATGTCGTGAGAGGATCGTTTGCAGCTTGTCAGAGACTCTAATGCCTCGCGTTGGGTCAGCGAAACGCTCCTTAAGGAGCTTGAGGAATTGGGAAAGAGGGGTGACCTTGGAATATGCAACCAGGTTGTTTTCACAACCGGCTGTACGCGCAAGAGACCTAGCAAAACTAGCTGCTTCGTCCTTGAGGGCCTGGAAGGCCACGAGGACTTGCTCCTCAGTTAGGATATGCTGGAAATAGATATAACT